CGGGGCGGGGAACAGGGGCGGACGGCTCGCAGCAGGCAGGGCTGCCGTGACGTTGCCTGGGGTAGGCACGACACTGCCGTTCAAAGGCAACAAGAAACACCAGCAGCCCTGGAGGCAGGAGGGGCTGGGCCAGGCAAGGTGCAATTCCCACGCCTTGACCCACAAGGCACCCCAAGGGATGATCTCGCCATCCGAAAATGCACACAGGGTGCCCCAGACAAGGGCTTGGGGTGCAAGAGCCCAAGGGGAAGCGAGAGGCTGTGTGCTGGAGAGGGGGACAGCACAGCGCGAGTTGAAGCCACGTAATTCCTGTTACAGCAACACATCCTAGCAAACTCCCCGGGGCCCAAGGCAAGCTGCAGAGATATTCACTCCTCCCCACAAACAAATTTGCTCCAGCACCGCTTGGTGTAACTCATCTTCTCCCTGCGATGTAATGAACCCTGGCTTCAAGCTCCATTAAACCCATCGCATAATCGCCTCTCCCTGCACAACCAGCCTCCGCTCCCCGCCGAGGCTGGGGAGCCATCCTTGTCCACACCTCTGCCGTCCCCAGGCGTCAGAGGACAGTGGACCAGCAGCCGGCAGCTGGCTGCAGGACGTGCCTGTTTTTCCTATAGGGTCAAAACTCTATAGGGAGCCAGGAAGGGCTGCACCAGCCCAGGGCTCAGCCAGGCATGAAGCGTTTCTCCTTGCCGCAGAGGACAGCCCAGCACAACCTGCCCCAAGGTTTTGGCTACCGAGCTACCAGCTTGCCTGTTGCTAAAACCCACGGACAGAGATCCACTGAGCGGTGCAACCAATTCGCTCTCCCAATGGCTCCTGTCTACCTGCAAATGTGAATGTTTGCAGCAGCCATCAAAGCTAGAGGACCAAGGGGAGGGAAATGGAAAAAGTCACCTCTCCAGCAGCGTCAGTCACTCGCTAGTCCATCACTTCTCATTGTAGCGCGCTCCTGTTATGCCACATTGCATCAGGTTATCACACCACGGGATGTAATCCAACACTGATGCATGAAGAAACCTAATGCAACACGACACATCGATGGTTTGCTGAGAACGGGCTTTATTTCTTGGTTTCTGGTCCCCCTCGTTGCGGGCAGCAAGTTAGACTCATCCGATGCCGCAGGGGGAAGAACGATACACAAAAATACCCTCACTCCAGGCAAATCTGCTGGCTGTGCCAGTAAGAGTCAGGTAGTTGGACATCTCTCTATAAATAACATCGCCTGCCCTCAGAGCTCCTGCCAGGTCCCATTGTCCCCAAACCCACAGAAATAGGAGTAAAAGGATGCCAAGAAGCGCCTCGAGGCCCCTTCAACAATTCCAAACAGCAGCTGATTGGGGTAAAAAAAATAGAGAGAAATCACAAGGTCTTTGCCGTGCGGAGAGGCACGGCTGCGAGGAGGCATTCCCGTGGGCAAGCCAGGCGCTGGGCAAGGGAGCCGCTCCGGCACACCGGCACCCAGCGCGTGCAAACCCAGCGCCGGGGCAGGCGGCAAAGCTCGCCCCGTGGCCTCGGCACCGGGAAACTCAGCTTTCCAGAGCGCTTCCCACTAATGCAACAGGATGGCGCAGCGCTGCAGGTGCTGGAGCTAAAGGGTAGACAAGGTGGTGCTGCTGCTTTTAATCACCTGGACCCTCAGAGGGTGTTTTTAAGTCACAGTGCTTGGCACTTTTGGAAATATCGTCCTAAGTATTGCTTTACCTGCCGCACACTAAATGTTTTCCAAGTACATGCCGGAGGTAACGGGAGCCTGAGGCTGGGCAGGAGAAGGCAACGAGGAGCAAGCGGCTGCAAACAGGAACGTCACACTGATTCACTGCGGCAGCAAACTCGGGAGGAGGGCGAAGGACCACGTTTTGGGTGAGCAAACGGACAGAAGGGAAAGAAGAAAACGAACCAAAAGAACAGTCTGGTAAGAGACAAACGGAAGAAGAAAATCCATGAGAGGGATGAGAAAAGTGATTCTGGGGAGAGAAAGGTGGCCGAAGCGTGTGCAAATACGCAGTCGAAGGAGTTTGCTTAGCTGAGCTCGCCCTCCGCGCGACAGCTTTGCAGGGCCGGTGCTCCTGCCATACGAGTAAATCCCAGCTTCCACCAGCTGCCGCACGTTTTCTAGAAGGTTTTGTTTAGTCTGAGAGCCATGCCTGGCTTGTAAAAGCTTCAGTTCCTACAGAATTAATCAGGCTGCCGGCCCGAGATCAGGAAATGCGGTCAGGCTGTGATGACCTTCTCCCAGCTGGCCCCTGCGCATGGTTTGCTCCAGACCTGTTTGCACCAGGGCCAGCTTCACCGGAGCTTCGGCACTGCCTGGAAACTCTCAGGGGGGATTTTCAGGCCGAGGCGGCCTGAAAAGCACCACTGCACAAAGGCAAAACTCACCGCTGGATTTAGGAGGGAGCCCTTGAAAAACGACCTTCACACGTGGAGTGTCTCCGAATCAAACTACCCATCTTCCCGCACCCACGCGGACACACGCGTTATTGGGATACTACACAATATCTGCCTGCAGTTGCATATCTCAATATTAAATATCTTATATATAATATACACACACACACACACACACATATATATAAATGTGTGCACATTCAAGTTTGCAGGTTTATATTTGCACACGTCAGCCCAGAGGTATCCGAAAGAAGGCACCCATAGGAGGGATGCGCTCACCTTCGGCCGCATCTTTGACGCAGGGAGAGGAGAGATGGCTCAGCTCTCCCAGGATCTCAGGGGCCTCCAGAGCTCCCCACCGGGGCTAGAGGCAGCCCCCAAGCTGTCCCAGGGCAAACAGCACCGAGCGGAAAGAGCCTCGGCCGCTCACCAGGCCTGGCACCGCGCGCCAAGTCACCCCTTTGCCCCTTGCACTTAAACCAGCATGTTTCAGCCCCAAAAACCCAGAGGCAACGGCATCTTTTGGGAACTGTGCAATAGTCCACCAACGTCCTCGGGACCATTTATGCATGGGTGGCTCCAAAGCCGGACTCCCAGGGTTTCCCCGCGGTCACGTCCTATGCTTGGCCTCGAGCAGAGCACATCAAACACCCTTCCCCAAGGACCGAGAAGGAGAAAGGGGAGGCCCTCCCGCCCCGAGCCGGCTGGACTTACTTGCCGAGAAGGTGGCTTCGGTGTGGACGGGAGGCGTGGAGGGCAGGAAAGGCGGGTACCCCACGAAGAAGGACCGCAGGGAGCGCTCCGGGAGCAGCGGCGAGCGCTGCGAGGGGATGTTCTCGCAGCTTCCCACGCTGTTGTGGATCTTGAGGTTCAAGGGCTTGTTCTTCTTCTTTACTCTGGAAGGGAGAGGAAGGAGTCAAAGGAGAGAAAAGTGAAATGCAAGGAAGCCGGGCAGGGGGGGTATTTTCTCCCGTACCAAGAGGCCACTTGTTAAGCGATTTAGAGAGCTAAGCAACGCCCCGAGGGGAACAGCAGCACCCGCAGAACAAACCGGGCACCCAAGGCGCCGCATGCCCTCAGTCGCCCACAGAGGTTTTATTAACCGGTTTTTATTAACCTTTCCCTTGCCAGTGACATCAAAGAGTCTCATTCATCCACTGTCGCCAGCTCTCGTAAAGCCTTCGAGAACATGCTGCGTTCGAGGGCTCTGCCTCCCGCCACGCTTGGCCGAAACCGGCCACGTGGTTCAAAAGCCTCGTGGGGGGCGGACGCCAGACAGGTCCGAGCGCAGGCGTACGTGCGCACGGACGCGGTAACCACTGACGCGCTTGGAAACGGGCCTAAAAAGTCATCCCCGTTCCTTATATCCTGGCCTCGCTTCCCATATCCACGTCCCCCAAAAGTCACTTGCCGTCTGCTAACCCCGCGCGGGGCAGCATCAAACCCCGTTGCTGGGAAGGAACAAACGCTGGCGGTGTTCAACGCAAACCTGCCTGCATCCATCCAGTTCGTGATTTACGTTACGCTCTCGCAGCACGGCTGGCAGCCCCTTTCGCCTCCAGACGTCTTCCCACGAGACCCCAGGGGAGCGCGTTGCCCTCGTTGGGGACGGGAGGGCTGTCGCCAGCTCCGAAGCCGCCACCGCGGGGCAGCACTCACTTCCTGAGTGCGAGCGTCACACTGACCCCATCGGCGTCCCCTCCAGCCCTGCTTCAAAGGGGGGAAACTGAGGCACAGAGGCTTACGGATCAGGTTCGGACTGCACGCTACAGCACCCAAGGTGGCCTTGGGCGTCTCTGACGGCTTCCAGGCTCGAGGGAGGCTGCTGGCTGCGCATCTCCATCCGCGGCAGAGCTGGCCGCGGCTCGAGGCGCCGCCGTTCCTCGGTCCA